TCAATACAAATACCCAAGTGTCGCAGATGTGTTTCATCATGCAACACTTACAGATAACTTCCTGCCCACACACTTCTATGTACATCTACACATATGTGTATGTCAGAAGGAAAATTCACACACACACACACACACACACACACACACACACACACACACACACACACACACAACACACACACACACACACACACACACACACACACACACATATACATATATATATATATATATATATATATATATATATATATATATATATATATATATATATATATATATATATATATAATATATATATATATATATATAATCACCATGTATATTTATTTTTTATTAACACATAGGCTGTCTCCTACCGAGGCGGAGTGACCCAAAAAAGAAGAAACGCTTTCATCATCATTTACTCCATCACTGTCAATTTATATTACCATATATAAATACAACACATATATATATATGCATCATACGTAGAGGATCACGACGGATGGTTTTTTCCAGGCGGAAATTTTAATGTTTAAGAAAGTGAATCGTGTTTGACTACTGATACAGTTGTAACATCTGACTGATATAGTTGTAATATCTGACTGATATAGTTGTAATATCTGACTGATATAGTTGTAACATCTGACTGATACAGTTGTAACATCTGACTGATACAGTTGTAACATCTGACTGATATAGTTGTAATATCTGACTGATACAGTTGTAACATCTGACTGATACAGTTGTAACATCTGACTGATATAGTTGTAACATCTGACTGATACAGTTGTAACATCTGACTGATATAGTTGTAACATCTGACTGATATAGTTGTAACATCTGACTGATATAGTTGTAATTTTCTGACTGATATAGTTTGTAACATCTAAATGATATAGTTGTAACATCTGACTGATATAGTTGTAATATCTGACTGATATAGTTGTAACATCTGACTGATATAGTTGTAACATCTGACTGATATAGTTGTAACATCTGACTGATACAGTTGTAACATCTGACTGATACAGTTGTAACATCTGACTGATACAGTTGTAACATCTGACTGATATAGTTGTAACATCTGACTGATACAGTTGTAATATCTGACTTCCTTATTAAACCAAGTAAAACTGTGATGTTGTAATATGTAACATCGTCATGTAAAAATAATGGTGGAAAAAGTGTGTTTTATTCTTGTATTTTTATCTAAGATAAATTGATTTAAAAGATAATCACAATACGCTTCTCATAATAGCATTAATGGTATTCAATACCACAGTTTTGTCTTCCTTGAAGTTTTCTCTTATAATTTTTGTTTTCTCATCGTTTTGTCTTCAGTTTTCATTTTCTTCTTTCTGTAAAAGATAGAGAAGAGGTTTTATTTTGGATAAGACAGCTGTGTCACCTTGGCTGTGTCACAAGTTGTTCTGGCCAGAGTAACTAAGTTCACCTCAAGTTCAGTTACGTTGAAATCTAAGTTTCCTTCCACAAACACTTGAGTTTCTCCCCAGATATTCTTGTTCATGTGTCAGGTTCTGAGTGTTAGATGCACAATATTTCAAAAATATGTATCTCGATAACTATGTTGATTCATAAATCATAAAATTTGACAACCTCTTGACGCTCAGAAGTTCCCCCGGCCCTAGAGTTAGAGTCTAACTTTAATATCCAAAGTAGCGATGATGACTGTTGACTAGGATTTGATTTTCTTTTTTTTTGGAACAATGACTCACACTTTCTGATACCTTACGCGTCCCACTATCGAATAAAAATTATGAAGAGCCAGGGGCCCTAGTCGGCTTCTAACAGGTAATCGACTTCGAAATCCTGAAGGAGGCTGACTGGGCGCCCTGGCCACCTTCAGACAGGTGTTCCTTGCCTAGCTCTCTCGCCGTACAGGTGGGATATGTTGTCAACCATTTGTACCTCGTCTCTCGCCAGGAACCGGATATCCGAGTCATCCGGAAGCTTGTCTTGGTTTCGCACTTTGCGTATGTAGACTACGACCACTGCAGCTGCCACCAGGACCCCCGTGGTCACCAGGATGCCTACCAGAATGGTGGTGTTCCTGGACTTCTGTTTATTCTTCCCTGAAGTGTTTTCCTTCTGCGTCTGTTTGGTTTTGACGTCTCCAGGGCTTGGTATGGTTGCCTCGATGCTGTGATTCGTGGGTGAGGCTTGGGAAGTGCTGGCCTTGGTTACTGTTGTGCTGGAAACAGCGGAGGAAGTGAACACCGCTTCTGAAGTGGTAATGGCTGCTCTTGTAGGCATCATCGCCGGCACTTCTCTGCTATTCGTCGTCAGATTTTCTGTCGTCTCTGTCACTGTGTCGTCTTTAATTTCGGTCGCCACGGCGTGGCTGACTGTCGTGGTACTTACGAGTTCCTTACCTATAGTCACTGCCTCTCCAGGTTCCGTCGTGGTGAGGATTGTTAGTGTTGCTGTCATCGAAGTCTTAGCTACCGTAGTCGTTTCTGGGACTCTGCCGTCGACTGTCCTGTTGGTGTCCTCTTTAGCGCCTCTCCGCCGGCGGCGATGCAGCTGCGGGAGTCGTAGGTTTAGGTGTCCTCTCCTCCAGGGTCATCTCCGGTGTCTCCGTCAGGAGCTTCAAGGTAACGTGAGAGGCCTTGGATGTCGCCTCTTCGACGGGGTACGTGACGGGACGAGCTGGGAAAGACAGCGGCAAGGTGACAGACACGGGCGTGATTACAGATACGGACGTGACGACAGACACGGGCATGGTGACAGACACAGGCGTGGTGGCAGACACGGGCGTGACGGCAGACACGGGCGTGACGGCAGACACGGGCGTGACGGCAGACACGGGCGTGACGGCAGGCACGGGCGTGGTGGCAGACACGGGCGTGATGACAGACACGGACGTGGTGGCAGACACGGACGTGGTGGCAGACACTGGCGAGGAGGCAACATGGGCTGGAGGAATCGTCGAAGTGATCTCGTCTTCCTTAGACTCATTCTCGCTCGAACTGGAAGCAGCTGTAGTCCCTCGAGGACCAGCTGTGAAGGACGACAGAGAGACAGGCGAGACAGAGGGAGACGGTGTCAACGGCAGGTGTACTGTCGGCAGGGACACAGTGACAAGCCTCGTCGTTGACAGAACTGAAATAGACAAGTAACTTTACTCAACAAATTTAAAAATATCAGGATCTTTAAAATCGACAAAACCTGAAGAGACAGAAAAAACCATACCCCCGGCCGGGATTGAACCCGCGGTCATAGAGTCTCAAAACTCCAGCCCGTCGCGTTAGCCACTTAGACCAGACTAGCCACAATAACAAGATTCAATACAATAGGTTATAATTCTACACCATAGGAAAGTTAGCACAGGCACCTCTGTGACCACAAATGCAAGTTTTTACAGACGAATCTCCAGCTAACTTTCCTATGGTGTAGAAATATACCTAGTTGGATGAATCTTATTGTGGCTAGCTGGTCTAGTGGCTAACGCGACGGGCTGGAGTTTTGAGACTCTATGACCGCGGGTTCAATCCCGGCCGGGGGTATGGTTTATTTGCAATCGTGTCATTACGATTTCTTGAGTCTGAAGAGACAGATGTCTTTAATGGACAGAATTATGAGAGGCAGGTACCTTTAATGGACAGAATTACGAGAGGCAGGTACCTTTAATGGACAGAATTACAAGAGGCAGGTACCCTTAATGGACAGAATTACGAGAGGCAGGTACCTTTAATGGACAGAATTACAAAAGGCAGGTACCTTTAATGGACAGAATTGCGAGAGGCATTAACTCCTAGTCGAGAGAACAGAGAGACTACAACTTTCAGTCGACAGAACTGAAACAAACATCAACCAACGAAACAAAACAAATCTGATCACATTCCACACAACAGTCGAAATGAGAATTAAAAGTGCCAAGCCCCCCCCAAAAAAAATTATAAAAGCAAACTGTGATTCCGAGAGACACTATGTGTAAAAAAAAAAAAACATAGAGCGACTGTCTTCCATAATTAAACAATGGAAAAAAAATAGCCAGATGGTAAAAAACAACAAAATTAAATACAGCTGCATTATCCACCTGTATTTTACTTAGACATACACGCTACTTGTATTATTAATAATTATTACATCATTATTTGTATTATTATATTACTAATGTTATTTATTATTATTTATTATTATTATAATTATTATTACTATTATTACTAGTAGTAGTATATTCACAGGGAAACGCTAAATCCATAGGGGTCTTAATTGGGAAATGGGAGATGATCAGGTTTGATCCGAGGAGAGCGAGGTGGCTTTACCTGTGTAAGCAAATATGACCCCTTTGGATTAAGCGCTTGACTGTGACAGTAGTAATAAATAATAATAATAATAAAATATAATAATAATAATAACTTGTGAGTGCCCCAGCAGTGTTTGATCCATGGATGAGCCAGAAATAACTTACAGTGCGGGCAGTAGTGATCCACGTCGAGGCAACAGGTGGAGGTGTTGCCGCACTCTATATCACAGCCGCATGCGTCCCCGTCCGCGATCTCTAAACATCTGTCGCGACAGCTCTGCAAGTCCTCCGCAGCTGCCGCATGCAGGAAAGCAAATAGTGAGTCAGATATGCAACGCTTGTGTTGAATACTGGAGAGAGAGAGAGAGAGAGAGAGAGAGAGAGAGAGAGAGAGAGAGAGAGAGAGAGAGAAGAGAGAGAGAGAGAGAGAGAGAGAGAGAGATCATACATACCCAGGATTGACTCGAGTATGGAACACATTCGTACAGCATAATGATGTCAACGAGATAACGTCAGTTGATCAAATGAAAATGCTGGCCCACAGATGGCTCCAACTTCATCCTGTTCCCTACTTGTAGTGTTCATAACAAAAATGCTTTCAAATGAGCTGATGTAGGTAACAGCTATTAGCTTGCCATAAAGTTAGGAATCCTTAACCTGTAAATAGCTGCTCAATAAAGCTAGGGATCCTTAACCTTGTCAAACCCTGTATGTAAAAAAAAAAAAAAAAAAAAAAAAAAAAAAAAAAAAAAAGAAGAGAGAGAGGAGAGAGAGAGAGAGAGAGAGTAAGAGAGAGAGAGAGAAGAGAGAAGATGAAGAGAGAGAGAAGAGAGAGAGAGAGAGAGAGAGAGAGAGAGAGGAACCCAACAGCAGAGGATTTGGAAGCCCACAATGAAAAAAAACTGTCTGTAAATCAAAAGGCTCTCTCCCCTCCCTCCGGCCACTGCTGGTATAAAAACAAAAGCAAAGCTATGTCATACCATTCTGGAAAACTGGAATGGGCTCCAGATATGGTAGTGACTGAAAGATGCCGAGTACAACTACAGCTGCTTAGTTAATGTTGTTACTGTACTCACCAAATTGTGCTTGCAGGGGTTGAATCATAGCTCCTGGCTCTGCCTGTTCACTGGTCGCTATTAGGTCCACTCTCTCCCTGCTCTTTGAGCTATGTATGGATCCTGTCTCCACTACATCACTCGCCAAACTGTTGCACTTCCTGACAACTCTGTGGCTGAAGAAATACTTCCTAACATCCCGGTGACTCATCTGAGTCTTCAGTTTCCAATTATGACCCCTTGTTGCTGTGTCTCATCTTTGGAGCATCCTGTTCTTATCCACCTTGTCAATTCCACTCAGTATTTTATACGTCGTTGTCATGTCGTCCCCTATCCCTCCTGTCCTGCCCTCCTGACTTAAACTACTCGTGTTACCCCACTGATGGGATATTAAGACCCATCACTAGAGGTTTTGGTCATCTGACTGAGGCCTTCTGCTGGCTTACCGGTCTACCCCTTAAAAATAAGATTATATTAAGTGTTAGTTTAGTGAGTGAGTGAGGAAGTGAGCATACTAGGCAACATCTAGCTCCTGTCCTCCCTCAACATACTTCATTGGCCACTGTAACTCTTCTGTCACACCTCACACATGACCCAACACGCTGAGCATGGGTGTGTAGCGAAGCTTTGGTCAGGTCACAAATCACAAATAATCGAATCGTATTTCATAAAAAGAAATACTGATTTCAATACGAATATAAGTTCATGTTTATATAAGTTAGGTTATTTATAATAAATAGAATTTGTGAGAAATTAAAGCTATACCGACATGTCACTCATAAAAATTTTCTTGACATGCGACCTGACCAAATCCTCACTACACTCCCATGTTCAGCGTGTTGGGTCGTGTGTGAGGTCGTAACTCAGCCTTATACGTCTTCTGTTGTCCCATTATTTTTATTGTCCTTGATAATGCGAGAAATAACGAAAAAGCTTGGAATTTCACTATTTTTCACTGGCTATTTTGCATATATATATATATATATATATATTATATATATATATATATATATATATATATATATATATATATATATATATATATATATATTATATAGTGTGTGTATGTGTGAGTGTGCAAAACAATCGCAGACAGGCGATCTTAACAATGCAAGATAAGCCACGGGGGGAGGGGAATCTTTAGCTCAAGACTTTCACACTTCTCAGTGCGTCATCAGGAGTTGTGCAATGTTGCAAAGGCAGCAACAGGAGAAGTAGGGTAAGTTTACAGAGTATGGTAGTGATAGTGGTAGTGTGGCACCAGCCAGCCTCTGTTTGAGAGCGGTGAGCGGGATGCCAACCACACACCGGCTTCCATATATTTTATATATATATATATATATATATATATATATATATATATTTTATATATATATATATATATATATATATAAATATATATATATATATATATATATATATATTCCAAATAGAAAATGCATATAATGGCGTATTTTTATGTGCAAAATAAATACGTCAAGGTACAAATTTCCTGGACACGGGAAGACATACCATAAATGGTCACAACAAGTGTAGTTAAACCAATGTTGCCTGGAATAATACTAAGCCGGTTTTAAGCCAGTTTAAGCTGTGAGGAGAGTAAGTGAGCTGGTTTATAACCCGAGGGGAGACGTAAAGCTGGTTTACGACCCCCTCTCCCTCCCTGGGGATCAACCTTAACGCTTAATGATTAGAATAAACAAGGCTAATGGTCGTACCTCGTGTAACGACCACACCCACAGTGTGATAGATTGATGATAAATAATGGGGGAAGCTGGTGATGGCGGAGGGGACGGAGATGAGGGGGCGAGAGATGAAGGGAGAGACGACTGAGATGAGGGAGGAAGATAGGCGAAGACAGAAGGAGGTAAAGGAGTATTGTAGGGAAGAAAACAGAGATAGTCAGAGAATAAAAGAGGGAGGGAAGAAAATTAGATCAAGGGAATATTGAAAAAATAATGAAGGAAGGGAGGTAGGGAGTGAATGAGGGAGAAGATATTGAGAGAGCTTTGGAAGGAGTGAGGGAGCTTAGGAAGGAGTGATGGAGCTTAGGAAGGAGTGATGGAGCTTAGGAAGAAGTGAAGCACTGGATGTTAAACAGTAACTTTAATATCCTTACAACAGTGCCACTTATATGACATTCTAACAACAATGCCATTGATGTCATATTCTAACAACAGTCCCATTGATGTCATATCCTAACAACAGTGCCACTGATGTCACATTCTAACAACAGTGTCATTGATGTCATATCCTAACAACAGTGCCATTGATATCACATCCTAACAACAGTGCCATTGATGTCACAACTTAACAACAATGCTATTGATATCATATCCTAACAGCAGTGCCATTGATGTCACATCCTAACAACAGTGCCATTGATATCGCATCCTAACAGTGCCATTGATGTTACATCCTAACAACAAAGTCATTGATGTCACATCCTAACAACAGTGTCATTGATGTCACATCCTAGCAAAAGTGCCATTGATGTCATATCCTAACAACAGTGCCATTGATGTCACATTCTAGCAACAGTGTCATTGATGTCACATGCTAGCAACAGTGCCATTGATGTCACATCCTAACAACAGTACCAATGATGTCACATCCTAGCAACAGTGACACAGATGTTATATCCTAACAACAGTACACCTGATGTCACATCCTTACAACAGGGCTATTGATGTCACGTCCTAGCAACAGCGCTCACTGATTCAACCTAAAACATACAGTGTATCGACGTGCCCAACAGAACAAGGCTTAATGACAGACGGTGAGCTCCAGCTCTTGTACCTTCCTCTTATCTATCGTCTGATGCGGTATCCCTGTATGGAATACTCTTTTTTTTCAATAGTTTTTGTTGCCTGGGGGTCGCACTCCAGCAGCCACATCACTATTCATTCCTGCTGCCATGTTGTCCGTCCGAGTCTTCCTTCAGCCTGAACACTGACACGTAGGAATCAATCTCTGCTGCCTCATTTACATACATCAGGAACAGCATATGTACTCACCTAGTTGTACTCACCTAGTTGAGGTTGCAGGGGTCGAGTCCGAGCTCTTGGCCCCGCCTCTTCACTGATCGCTACTAGGTCACTCTCCCTGAACCGTGAACTTTATCATACCTCTGCTTAAAGCTATGTATGCATCCTGCCTCCACTACATCGCTTCCCAAACTATTCCACTTACTGACTACTCTGTGGCTGAAGAAATACTTCCTAACATCCCTGTGATTCATCTGTGTCTTCAACTTCCAACTGTGTCCCCTTGTTACTGTGTCCAATCTCTGGAACATCCTGTCTTTGTCCACCTTGTCAATTCCTCTCAGTCCTCCAGTGTCGTCAGGTTGATTTCCCTTAACCTCTCCTCATAGGACATACCTCTTATCTCTGGAACTAGTCTTGTTGCAAACCTTTGCACTTTCTCTAGTTTCTTTACGTGCTTGGCTAGGTGTGGGTTCCAAACTGGTGCCGCATACTCCAATATGGGCCTAACGTACACGGTGTACAGGGTCCTGAACGATTCCTTATTAAGATGTCGGAATGCTGTTCTGAGGTTTGCTAGGCGCCCATGTGCTGCAGGCGTTATTTGGTTGATGTGCTCTTCAGGAGATGTGCCTGGTGTTATACTCACCCCAAGATCTTATTCCTTGAGTGAGGTTTGCAGTCTCTGGCCCCCTAGACTGTACTCCGTCTGCGGTCTTCTTTGCCCTTCCCCAATCTTCATGACTTTGCACTTGGTGGGATTGAACTCCAGGAGCTAATTGCTGGACCAGGTCTGCAGCCTGTCCAGATCCCTTTGTAGTTCTGCCTGGTCTTCGATCGAGTGAATTCTTCTTATCAACTTCACGTCATCTGCAAACAGGGACACTTCGGAGTCTATTCCTTCCGTCTTGTCGTTCACAAATACCAGAAACAGCACTGGTCCTAGGACTGACCCCTGTGGGACCCCGCTGGTCACAGATGACCACTCTGACACCTCGCCACGTACCATGACTCGCTGTTGTCTTCCTGACAAGTATCCCCTGATCCATTGTAGTGCCTTCCCTGTTATCCCTGCTTGGTTCTCCAGTTTTTGCACCAATCTCTTGTGTGGAACTGTGTCAAACGCCTTCTTGCAGTCCAAGAATATGCAATCCACCCACCCCTCTCTCTCTTGTCTTACTGCTGTCACCATGTCATAGAACTCCAGTAGGTTTGTGACACAGGATTTCCCGTCCCTGAAACCATGTTGGCTGCTGTTGATGAGATCATTCCTTTCTAGGTGTTCCACCACTCTTCTCCTGATAATCTTCTCCATGATTTTGCATACTATACATGTCAGTGACACTGGTCTGTAGTTTAGTGCTTCATGTCTGTCTCCTTTTTTAAAGATTGAGACTACATTTGCTGTCTTCCATGCCTCAGGCAATCTCCCTGTTTTGATAGATGTATTGAATATTGTTGTTAGGGGTACACATAGCGCCTCTGCTCCCTCTCTCAGGACCCATGGGGAGATGTTATCTGGCCCCATTGCCTTTGAGGTATCTAGCTCACTCAGAAGCCTCTTCACTTCTTCCTCGGTTGTGTGCACTGTGTCCAGCACCTGGTGGTGTGCCCCACCTCTCCGTCTTTCTGGAGCCCCTTCTGTCTCCTCTGTGAGCACTTCTTTGAATCTCTTGTTGAGTTCCTCACATACTTCATGGTCATTTCTTGTTGTCTCTCCTCCTTCCTTCCTTAGCCTGATTACCTGGTCCTTGACTGATGTGGCTGTATAACAGTTTCGGGTCAGATTTGGCTTTCGCTGCTATGTCGTTTTCATATTGTCTTTGGGCCTCCCTTCTTATCTGTGCATATTCGTTTCTGGCTCTACGACTGCTCTCCTTATTCTCCTGGGTCCTTTGCCTTCTATATTTCTTCCATTCCCTGGCACACTTGGTTTTTGCCTCCTTGCATCTTTGGGTGAACCATGGGCTCATCCTGGCTTTTTCATTATTCCTGTTTCCCTTGGGTACAAACCTCTCCTCAGCCTCCTTGCACATTGTTGCTACATATTCCATCATCTCATTAACTGGCTTCCCTGCCAGTTCTCTGTCCCACTGAACCCCGTTCAGGAAGTTCCTCATTCCCGTGTAGTCCTCTTTCTTGTAGTTTGGCTTCATTCGTCTTGACCTTCCTGTTTCTCCCTCCACTTGTAGCACTACTGTGTATTCGAAGCATAAAATCACATGATCGCTGGCCCCAAGGGGTCTTTCATATGTGATGTCCTCGATATCTGCACTATTCAAGGTGAATACTAAGTCCAGCCTTGCTGGTTCATCCTCTGCTCTCTCTCTTGTAGTGTCCCTTACGTGTTGGTACATGAAGTTTTCCAGTACCACCTCCATCATCTTAGCCCTCCATGTATCTTGGCCCCCATGCGGCTCCAAGTTCTCCCAATCGATCTCCTTGTGGTTAAAGTCACCCATGATCAGGAGCTTTGCCCTGCATGCATGAGCTCTTCTGGCCACTGCAGCCAGTGTGTCAACCATCGCTCTATTGCTCTTGTCGTACTCTTGCCTTGGCCTCCTGCTGTTCTTTGGTGGGTTATACATCACTGCTATTACCACCTTGGGACCTCCATAGTGAAGCGTTCCCGCTATGTTATCACTTTCTTCTCTGCTGTCTCCTCTCTCCAGCTCATCAAAATTCCATCGTTTTTTTATCAGCAATGCCACTCCTCCCCCCCCCCTGTTCCCTCTGTCTTTCCTCAGGATCTGGTATCCCGTTGGAAAGATGGCATCTGTTAGCATACCTGTAAGCTTGGATATAACAGGTGAGAGCTATGGTGTCCGGTGATGCCTCTTTGACTCTTTCGTGCCACTCCTCCCACTTATTTGTTATTCCATCAGCGTTTGTGTACCATACCTTCAGTTTCCTTTCCAACACTGTGGTTTGGGGGGCCTGTGAGGGTGGGAGACTTGGTAGCATACTGTGGGATTCTATAGCTCGGTGTTGGGTGGAAGCTGTGGGTATGGATTGTAGTGTGTGTTGGGATGGTGTGATAGGTTGTGGGGTTCTGAGAATAGTTGTGTGTGTGTGCTTGCCCTTGCTGCTCTGTTCTGCTCTGACTGACCTCTACTAGTTCCATCCTTTCCTAGCTCCTTTCGCTTTTTTGTCCTCTCCCTCAGCTGCTGTCGTTCTGTTTGTGTTCTGTCTCTGTCTAGGAACACCCTCTTGTACTCTTCCGAGTATTTCAACCGTGGTTTCTCTTTTAGGATCCTGTTCCGTACTGTTTCCATCCTGAGAATCAGCTTGATCGGTCGGTTTCTCCCCTTCGAGTACCCCCTATTCTCTGAAAATTTACAATCTCGTCCATCTCTTCACCTATTTCCGTGATGATTTTCTCGATCTCCATTCTTTCTTCCTGCCGCCTTTCAGTGTGTCCTTTCCTCTCTCTCCTGAAGCCCATGGATAAACACTGATTTTGCCCTTTCCTCCTCCCATTGCCTCACCCTCTGTGACTCTGGATCCTGCCTGTATGTGGTCATTTTCTCCCTTGATTTTTCCAGTGGCTCTTGATAGCATGGTTGTGCCTCAGCACGTGTGTGTGTGTGTGTGTGTGTGTGTGTGTGTGTGTGTGTGTGTGTGTGTGTGTGTGTGTGTGTGTGTGTGTGTGTGTTTGTGTGTGTGTGTGTGTGTGTGTGTGTGTGTGTGTGTGTGTGTGTGTGTGTGTGTGTGTGTGTGTGTGTGTGTGTGAGTGAGTGAGAGAGAGAGAGAGAGAGAATGAGAAACTAAAAGGAGAAGAGGGAAAAAGGGGAATAATAGGAGGAAGAGGATGGCGAAATCTAGGAGATAAAGACGAATAGGAGGAAGAGAGGGAAAGAGGAGGAGGTGGAAGAAGAGGGGCAGGAAGAGGAGGAGGGGGAGGAGGAGGAGGAGGAGACATGGTAGAAGGTGAGAGTAATATAACCCAAAGTCTACTTTTGCCTCTTCCTCACCATTGTTACTCAATTATCTACCATATCTACTCAACAATTATATCTACTTGCCACCATATCTACTCACCGGTCTTATCTACTCACCTGTTATATCTACTCTTCTGTCGTATATGACAAATCATATGTGATCACATGTCGCATCTCTTCACCTACTGACTTGTCATATCTTGCCTGTCATATCTTCTGACCTGTCACTTCTACTCACCTCCAGTATGGACGGTCGTGATGTCATGTGGTGTCAAGCTGAATGAAGGTGAAGTGAGTGACTCGATGGCTGTGGCACTGGTGTCAACAGTGGTGGCACTGGTGTTGTCAGCAGCGGCGGTGGGAGTGGTGATGCTAGCAGTGGTGTTAAGCACGGGTGAAGCAGTGCCAGACGAGATATCACTGGCACCTGTGCCAGCAGTAGCAGGGGGGGAGGTGTTGTTTGAGGAAGAGGAGGAGGAGGAGGAGGAGGAGGAGGAGGAGGAGGATGAGGAGGAGGATGAGGTAGTATTAGGAGCAACTGCAGCACCTTGGGTGGTGACATCACCCTGGGTGGAATCACCGGTGGTGTTGGTGGTAGGTGAGGTCGTGGTATTGGAGGTTGTGGTGGTGGTCGTCGGTGCAGTTCTGACCTCGGGCATGGTAAATTCGTCTCTGCAGTCGTCCCCGTGCGCCACCTTGACGTCGTCAACGGCGATGTCGCTGTTGCCTTCGTCTCTCACTGCCTCCAGCACGATCTGTCAGCGACAAGACCAGCAACACACGTAGCATACCTCGCATTTCCTGCATACCTGGCATACATACCATGGCATAGCCTCATGGCACAGCTGTATGCACGAGCGTAAAACTGCGAAGGTATTCCGAGAAAGATCCATTTGTGTGTGTGTGTGTGTGCGTGTGTGTGTGTGTGTGTGTGTGGTGTGTGTGTGTGTGTGTGTGTGTGTGTGTGTGTGTGTGTGTGTGGTTTTAAATCCTGCCCTCTACACGTAGGTCATTAAAACACCAATTAGCACGTTCACATATATCAATAAGACTTTAATCCCTAAAGAGAGGAATTAAGTTTTACACTAATTATATACAGAGCGGGATACTTCCCATATATACACTGATAGAGATTTATATATTTTGCACCGGAGATACACTGGTGATATGCGCCTTTCGTGTTTATATACTGGGAGATTTACTCCTCTCAATGTATACACGCTGGGAGATATGCACATCTCAACTTATATACAACGGGAGATATACTCTTCTTCGTGTATAGTGCGATGCATTCAATTCTCAGTTTAGATGCTGTAGGAAATATACTTATACCTTTCGGTGTATATACATTGAAATACAGGCACCTCTCCATATATACTGAGATAAACCTACCTCTGTCTCTCTCTCTCTCACACACACACACACATACACGGTGTATATATGCAACGGAAGATATGCACCTCTGAACATTGGGAGAAAGGCACGTTTTGATGTATATACTTGTTTACTGGGGGAGATAAACCTCTCCGTGTAAATACTCACATCCAGCCACTCTGGCACCAAGTGGGATATTCGTTCAGAAATCAACGCACCCTAGTTTTTCCTAGGCTGCCTCGCTGCCAGACGTACCACAGCTTTTTTTTTTTTGTTTGTTTATAGAAAAAAAAACTGCTTATAAACCCGTCTTTCCCCAACCCAAAATTTAACCAACATCAAGCAAATTAAACCAACCTAATTAACCAAAAAAAATTTAAACCCCAAAACGAAATTAACCTCACCCAAATTCGTTAGTGGGTTTAAAAAAATTAAAAAGAATAACATTGGAGGGAAAAAAAAAGCGTCGAAAACAGACGTTTTAGATGTTTCGACCACCAGTTTTTCTTCCCCATAACCTATGGGGGTTTTTGGCGTTTTTTTTTCGAAAATAAAACAAAAAAATCTAAAAAATAGACAGACAATATTATCCCTCGGTTTTGTGGGCAGATTTCCCAACGGGGGAAAATCAGTCCCTTGAATAGCGAGAGAGAGAGAGAGAGAGAGAGAGAAGGGGAAAAGAGAGAGAGAGAGAAGAGTGAGGGGAGAGAGGAGGAGGGAGGGGAGAGAGAGAGAAAAGGAGAGAGAAGAGAGAGAGAAGGGGTTTTTTGTTTTGGTTCTGAAAAGAGAAAAATTATCGATAAAAAGGTCACATCCCGTTTTGGGAAACAACACAAAAATAAACCCTCATCGGGAGCGTAGCTTAACCGTCTTTTCCCCTGTGAGGAGTAAACTGTCGCCCTTGAAGGCCCGTTGTCGCGCGTGGAAGCGACACCCCCCACTTAAGGTTCCTTTCTGCAAATTTAGCGCTCGTAACCCGGGAAAAAATTTATTTCAGTTATATTTTTTGATGAATTCTGTATTCTCAAAATGGAGATTTTCTTTTTTTTTTCCGTTTTTTTTAATTATGGCGTTCCAAGGTTGAGGGGGGTACCGTGTTTCAGGGTTGAGGTTCGTGTTTCAAGATTGAGGGATTTTTTTCGGGTTGAGGTATCGTTTTCAAGTGGGGCCTTTTTTTAAAGGATCTGTTTTGGGCCGGGTTGAGGTATCGTGTTTCAAGGGGGGAAAGAGGGGGGGGGTTTTCCGTGGTTTTTTCAAAGGTCGAATATCATTTCAGGGTTGCGGTATCGTGTTTTAAGGTTAAAGGACGTGTTTCAAAGTTTGGTATCGTGCTTTAGGGTTTAGGTACGTGTTTCAAGGTTGGGTATCGTGCTTCAAGGTTGAGGTACCGTGGGGCCCCAGAAGAAATTATCGTAGGAAAAAATTGTTCACCTTCCCCCCGAAATATCATTCTTTTCTTTCGAGTGGATCTGTCGTTAATTTTGTACGTACTTAACTAAAAAGGAAAACCTTGCCCTTTTTTACGTTTAAAAATCTGTGGCCAAAAACCCAGGGTATTAAGTGGTTTTCACTGCTCCTTAAAAATTGGGGGGGAAAAAATACTCTTAGAACATACACTCATTTTTGCGTACCTCTTGGGGTATATTTTGAGATAAACAACATTTGGGTTTTATAAACCCCCCGAGAGGACGCACACTGATGCAATCGAGAGATTTAAGCTTCTCTGTAAATAGAGAAATACGGAACACAGATACACATCTCTCAGTGTAAATACTCTCGGTGTATATAACCTTGCACTGATATGCAATACACACACACACACACACACACACACACACACACACACACACACACGTGTAGTCCCAATTTTTAAGAAAGGAGACAGACACGAGGCATTAAACTACAGACCAGTGTCACTGACATGTATAGTATGCAAAGTCATGGAGAAAATTATCAGGAGGAGAGTGGTGGAACACCTAGAAAGTAACACGCTTATACACGACAACCATCACGGTTTCAGGGAAGGGAAATCCTGTGCCACAAACCTACTGGAGTTTTATGACAAGATAACAGAAGTAAGACACGAGAGAAGGGATGGGCAGACTGCATTTTCTTGGACTGCAATAAGACCTTCGACACAGTTCCTCACAATAGATTAGTGCAAAACCTAGAGGATCAGGCGTTCATAACAGGAAAGACACTGCAATGGATCAGAGAATACCTGACAGGGAGGCAACACGTGACACGAGGTGTCAGAGTGGGCGCCTGTGTCAAACGTGGTTCCACAGGGGTCATTTCTAGGTCCAGTACTGTTTTTGGTTTATGTAAATGACATGACGGAAGGGATAGACTCAGTAGTGTCCCTGTTTGCAGATGATGCGAAGTTAATGAGGAGAATTAAATCGGATGAGGGTCAAGCAGAACTACAAAGGGATTTGGACAGGCTGCAAGCATAGTTGAGCAACTAGCTCCTCTTATTTAAACCTGCCTAAGGCAAAGTCAAGAAGATCGTGGAAGGGCAAAGAAGACCGCAGACAGAGTATAGGCTAGGCGGCCAAACACTGCAAACCTCACTAAATGAAAAGAATCTTGGGGTAAGTATAATACCGAGCACATCTCCTGAGGCGCACATCAACCAGATAACTGTTGCAGTATATAGGCGCCTTGGCAAACCTAAGAATAGCGTTCCGATACCCCAGTAAGGAATCGTTCAAGACACTGTACACCGTGTACGCCAGGCCTATATTGGAGTATGCAGCACCAGTTTGGAACCCACACCTAGTCAAGCACGTCAAGAAATTAGTGAAAGTGCAAATGATTGCAATAAGACTAGTCCCATAGCCTGACGACAATGGAGGACAGAAGGGTTAAGGAAGACCTGATAATGACATAAAATACTGCGAGGAATTGACAAGGTGGACAGAGACAGGATGTTCCAGAGATGGGACACAGACACAAGGGGTCACAATTGGAATTTGAAGACTCAGATGAGTCAGAGGGATATTAGGAAGTATTTCTTCAGTCTTAGAGTTGTCAGGAAGTGGAATAGTCTGGAAAGTGAAGGTAGGAACCATTCATAGTTTTAAGACGAGGTTTGATGCAGCACATGGAGCAGGGAGAGAGAGGACCTAGTAGCGATGAGTGAAGATGCTGGGACAAGAGCTATGGATCGACCCCTGCAAACACAAATACGTGAGTACACACACACACACTCGCACACACACACGCACACACACACACACACACACACACACACACACACACACACACACACACACACACACACACACACACACACACACACACACGCACTCACACACACACGCACGCACACATACACGTACACAGTTTAAGTTATCGTGTACACAATACCATCACCTAATCATCGTACAGTAGAAGACATAAATTGTTGTGCCTCTCTCTGTCGAAATCCTCAACCAGTTCTCAAAATATTTTTGTTCTCCTAGGACGTGGTGGTAGTAGTGGTGGTGGTGGTTGGTGGTGGTGGTGGTAGTGGTTTTGGTGTGGTGGTAGTGGTGGTGGTGGTGGTGGTGGTGGTGGTGCTGTGTGCTGCGCAAACAATGATTCCTGCCCTTGTTTGCCCTCACAACTTTTTTGTCCCACGAAGAAAGGCTGGATGGAAGCTGAGTTAGCGAGGTGGAAATTTATGTGTTGGTTCATGCAAGTCGTGCCGGGATACAGCGCCTGGCGGCACCCACATACAATTTACCCCTTCCTCTGAATATAATAATACAGTACTCGGTAGGAGTGCCTTATGTTGTAAAATCTTGGGGAAAGAGCTAAATACCTGTGTGGATTATTCAGAGCTCTATGGTTATTTTACACTGGCAAACATGTTATATATATATTTTTATTTAATATAATAATTATATATATTTATATATATATATATATATATATATATAAAAAAATTTTTTTAAAAAAAAAAATTTTTTAAATTATTATATTTTATTAATAAAATTATATATATATTTTAAAAATTATATATATTATATATTATATATATAATATTATATAAAAAAATTTAAAATTTTAAAAATTTAATAATTTTTAAAAAAAAAATAAAAAAAATTAAAAAAAAAAAAAAAATTTTTTTTTATTTTTTTTTTTAAAAAAAAAAAAAAAAAATTTTTTTTTTCAAGGAAAAAAACAAATGTTAACAAAGTTTTTTAAAATAAAAAAAACAAAAAATTTGAAATTTTTAAATTTATAAAAACCAACTCCCCAAATTTAATTAGGGGAAAAAAAGGGTTTTTTAACGGGGGTAAACGTTTGCCCAAAAGGGGGTTTTTGGGTGAATACAGTCTCGGTTTTTAATGTATAAAAAGGGGAATGGTGGGCACCTAAATGGGGGGGGTTTTTTCCCTTGGGGGTTTAGTGTGACCAAGTTAAAAGGGGGGGGGAATAAAGTGCCCCTTTCTTGGGGGGTTAAGTGTAGAAAA